AAAAATGTAAAGCATTCAAATAGCAACTATCTTAACAGAGATAACTGTTCGTACTAGACGAACTTAGTTCGTACTGGACGATCGGGTACGAAGTCAGTTCGTACAAATATACATTGGGTTCGTATGCAACTAATTTAAGTATATTCGTACAGGATGATCTGACATTCGTACGGGATGATCCACTATGTACAGACTTGAATATCAACAATTTTTGGACGATTTTTTATGTCTTTCCTATATAAAGTCCAACTAAAACTACCTCTTAATCTTTTTGCCTACTGATCTTTGTGTCAACTAAAATAAGAGTGAAGGAGAGAGTGTGTGAGAGAGTTTGAAGGAAGATTCTTACTACTGGAGTGTGAAGGATTCACTTGGTACTCAAAGGTAAGAATCTCCACTTGTGATTACTTCACTCTTTTCTCTCGTCCTTCTAGATTTCTTATGAGAAGATCTGTCAAGGAGATCCGGTTCTCTGCCGATATTTGGAGAGTGTGAACAACCAAAGGGTTCTCTGCCTACACTTGGAGAGTTTGAACAGTTGAAGGGTTCTCTGCCTACACTTGGAGAGTGTGAACAACCGAAGGGTTCTCTGCTTACACTTGGAGAGTGTGAAAGGATGAAGGGTTCTCTGCCTACACTGGGAGAGTGTGAAAGGATGGATGGTTCTCTGCCAACACTTAGAGAGTCTAAAATGATGACGGTTCTCTGCCGCACCGGGTAGTGGTGGACAAAATTTTGTAAAGTCCTCTCTGCCTTGCTGTGGGTGCAAATGGAGAGACACTAATGGTATTAGTGCAATACTCGGAGGGTGCCTCCGGGGAGTGGATATAGGTCGTGTTTGACCGAACCACTATAAATCTTGTGTCTTTAATTTTTTTTCGCTGCTTTTATTTTTACTGTTTTAACTTGTGGTTGAAGAACCTTTTCTAGAAAAATTCACTAAAGTTCTTCTCGGTTTTTAATTTCAAAAGGAGGGATAAATTTTTAATTACCAATTCAACCCCCCCCCCCCCCCCCCCTCCCCCCCCCCCCCCCCTCCCCCTCTTGGTTTGCCGCTGGGACATAAACTTAGGTCTATCAACCTAATTCATATTGAAAAAGTTTCAACAATATGAATAATGTTCCAAGTTAATGAAATCACTGTCAAATTTTTGTTAACAGGTTGTTGCTTTTAATATATCGATATGACTCTAGTTTGTGGTTTACTCCCCCTTATTTTAAAGAGTGGGTTCTTCTCTTATATTTGGAAAATATTCTCACAATTAAGAGTCCTTAAATGTTTCAAAAGGAAGCTAGCTCGTAAAAAAGATAAGAGGCACAAAATAAGCCTAAAAATACTTAAAAGATGCACAATGATGCTAAGTAATTGCAAGATACAACAAAGTGTATGAAGAATCAAAAGATGTGTAAAGTACATTAGATAACTGAAAATGAGACACAAAATAAGCCCATAAAGAAATAAACTTCCTTCTTTTTTAAATTATTAAATCTTAGAAGAATCCATGTGCTACATGATATTTTTAAACACTTGAATTTTAAAATCTTAATTTTGGATAATTACTTCACAATATTATTCTATTAGATATTTTTTTGGAGAGAAGTTTGAAAAGATAATTTTTCTTATCTTTTTTTTTTTTTTTTTTATTTTTTTTTTTTTTTTGAATTAGATTTTTCTTTTAAAAAAATTAACCTGTAAAGAGTCTGAGCTAGGATTCACAAGATCAATTTTCTACCCTTTTTGGATTTTAGCCTTATCAATTCATTTCTTACTTATTTTTAATCTACTCAGAAGAGAAATTTATCATTTACTGGAGTTGATTGATTCAAAAAAAGGGTTTTTTTATTTTGATTTATGATTGGTTTTTTCTTGGATTTTGTGTGTTTTATACTTCTCATCTTTTTATTTTTATTTTGAAATCTTCCTGATCATCATATTTCATGTCCTGAATTTTTCTAGTTTTGCTCAGATTGTCCAGGACCATACACATAATCTTATATTATTTGAATAAAAATACACCTCTCCAATCATAAAACAACCAATGGTTGATCTAAATCAATTATTGATTATTTTCTTGTATGATCTATACATCATAGTGGATGATCCACGTGATAGGAGTCATTGGACGATTTCAATTTTATTAGGCTGATCCACTATAATAAATCATCCAGGATGATCCACATGTTCATCATTTACAATTTAGTTAGTCAATGATCATACATGATGACTAACGACGATCTCTCTATCTCTAATCATCCAGTATGATAACTGATCATACTATACGATATGACCAAACCTTTTTACCAATCATATGGATGAATTGATTGCACCTGATCATCTTGGATGATCTCCTGATCATGTTGTATGGTATGGAAATTTCTTTATAAATAGTTGGGTTTCTTCATATTCTTCACACCATTTCATTTCCTTAATCATCTACATCCCTCTTGTGTTGTTCCATCCTTATAATGAATGGTGGAAAGAGTTCCCGGGCCCTCGCAAGTAGTTCCTCTAGGAGAACCATAGATCCTAAATTCATTCAAGAAGCTGACGAAGCAACTTATCATCATTATAAAAATGCTGGGATTAACCCATCCAGAATATTCAACAAAGAGGTATTAACCTTTATGGTGCTTAAACTTATTGCCCATACTACTCTTAGATTCATCCTTACTTTGGTCTTTCCCTTCAATTCTGAATTACTTTTTATATTTTTTACAAGCTTAAGAATCAATAAAGAGGGTACTGCCCTCCAATTCTTTGTTAATAAGAGGCTAGTAGAGATCACCTACCAAGACCTACATAAATTTCTTCATCTTTCAACTACTGGTGAAAAAATTCACATTCAAGATGCAAATCCTGATTTTGATTGGACCCAAGCCAACAGAATCCTGAGAGAATCCAATGTTAACTTTCATATTTATTTTTTTAGCATATTAGTATAAAATGATACGATCATTCAGCATATTCTTCGCAACTCCATAATTCCAAAAGCTAGTGATGAGATAAAAATTACTCCAATGTTGTCTCTTAAAACTTATTTCATAATTGCTGAAATTGACTTTAATGCAACTGACCTTTTTATTCGCTACCTTAAAAATT